GATTATACAAACTGTAAAATATTAATAATAATTGGGTTGATATTATTATTAATAGTTTTTATGATTTCTACATCGTCACTCCTTTTTTCTGCTCTGTTGCCAACATGTACAGTAATGGGAAATCCAGTCTTGACCGTTTAGAGTTAGCCGTTAGCTTCTCCAGCCGATCACACGGTCACCTGGTTTCTGAGCACTCCAGCTGTGCTATAGAACTTCCTTGATCCCAAAAGAATTGTGTTTATCTATTGGCTCCCAGCGGCATGGCCTTGATTGCCATGCYATAATACCCCCAGGATGATATGTCAACAAGGGCTTGATTCCCTCCCACCCCCATCACCCGTGTTGGACCTGGTCTGTGAACCCAAGGCAGAGACCCAAGGTGACTCTGAACTCTGGCGTGTCGAGCAAGAGACCATAACATCATGTGACTCTGGACTCTGGGGGTGCTAGTCGGGTTCAAGTACGGAGACTCCACGTCACTGACTCCAATGATCCCCGCCCCATCTCATGTGTTATCTGTCCTAAGCTCCTAGTCTTGCCCTGTCGCGAGTCGTGTTTTTGTGCACATGACCTTGTGTTACTGATGTAAACAKAGGGTCAGAGCTAATTTTTTTATAACCCAGCTTTCCTATTGTGTATTTCCAGCTGTTAAAGGTAGCGCAGCCCAGTTGCCGCATGACCTGTTCACCTGTTTGTCATGTTTCGTTCTACATTGCATCCCTGGTGTTATGTTTGGATGACAATAAAGAGAATCTGAACTCTCAATAGACTTTTGGACGATCTGCAACATCTTGCTGGAGACACTGAAGTACAGTTTGCTCTGTCCTTTCTTGTGGACTGCTAAAACTAGAAATCCCTGGATATAAACAAACAAAATGGCACAATCCTAACACACTGCTTCAGCTCCAAAATAATCTGCAGCACAAGYGTTGGTTATTATTTCTGAGTTTTATTGAGAGAAACACTGTGGGTCCTGATTGGCTGAATTAGATCCATGCATCATCTGACAACACTCTATCACTCTAATCCTCTCATCATCAGTTATGCAGCTGTTTCTCCTTTTATCTCCTAATCGACTTGTGTAGACATGAAACAGCGACAGGCAGAGCTTCCTGCTTTTGTCCCTTTGCCCTCAGATTAACCAAAAGAAACCTCACTTCTTCAAAGGGTCAAAGTTTTTTCACTCTGAAGTGGCGGCAAGCAATGGGGTGTTGATTGATTACAAGAGGGAAAGCCATAAATGTCAACAAATCAAATCCCTCTATCATCTTTGTGACAAGAACTTTTAAACAGCTGGAGAAATCAGGGACTAATTAAAGATCTAAAACTGGGGGAATCAGGGGGCGCCAGCAAAGGGGGGCAGGGAG